CCCCCCCCCCCCACCATCCTCCTCTGCCCTTTCTATCATTTCCCATAATTCTCTCCTTGGTCATAAAACACTATGACATTTGAAATCAGCGGGCGCGGTAGAAGTTGTATTCCGTGGTCGGTTAATTTTCTAGGTTTCTTTTTGGCCGCCTGCAGCAAAGTTTTCCGGAAGGCATCATTAAGCCTTATGAAGGAATAAGTCTCACGATTGGTAAAGTCTTCCGTCGTCCAATATGTTACCGTATTTCGTCTCATTTTGGCTAAACGGGTGAAACACTGATCTTGGGCTTGAGACGGAAAGGCATCATATTGTGAGCTTTGATGTGGGCGGTGACGAGTCTCTTGCCTCAAAAAGTAATTTGTAAGAGTCAAAACTATTCGGTGAGAGCAAAATTGATGCTGATTTCTGACCAGGCCAGAGACTTAGTTTAAAATTGTTTTGAAGGCCGGCGTCCATGTGTCCCTTTCAAAACGGCTCTTCTACATCCGGGATCTTGAATAAATCGACTGCGTCAGCAAAGTTTACATGTGATGATTTACGTGGAGAAGGCGAGAGTTATTGAGAGAGAGTAATTTGATGATATTTCGCCCGTATTAAGTGTGGAAACATTGTGTCTGGTTGGTTGTGGATAGTTTTATCAGTGCCGCGAACGTGGTTAATTGTGTGATTTCCTGAAGTTGTTGACAGACAGATTTCAGGTACGTCGTGGCGCTCGTGTTATAAGAATATTGTGTACAAGCATGAAAACGCTTTGTAAGTGTGTAGCTGAAGTGATTTTGTCTTAGACAACCGATTTTGGGGTCAAGAGAGGTGGATTCTAGGTCTGTTTTAGTCGGGCATCTCGCTATGAGCCTCATAGTTTAAGAGACTGAAAGGTCATTATTTCTGTGCTTTTAAATGTTGTTCATTTCGTTACAAATCTGTCGCTTTTGCTAAGAGGAACTTTTCGTGTGTTGCCAGCGACTTTCAACTGCTTTTTATTGACCTCAAGGGTCAAATTGTTAAAACGCACTTGAAATTTCTTGAGGTACCTTTTATCAACTCCAGACAAATATATTTAGTATATACACACTCAGTGATCTTGGTGTTTTAAGCAATCTGATTGGTTCGCTATCTCGGGCTATTCAACAATATTCACCTCCGAGCGAGTGGATAATGCGTAATTCGTGATCTTCAAAACAAAAACAAAATGGCGGGCGTAAACTCGCGTTTCGCTCAAGTTTCAGAAGCAGAAATTTTACAAATACAAGACGAGGCTGTGCCTGAGAATACAAAAAAGGCAACTAAGTATGGACTGAAAGTTTTTAAAGGTAAGAGAAGACTCGAAAGTGTTAAAAAGTGTTTCTGGTTTTATTTTGCTGACAACTGCCAATAAGTTTGAGTGACATTCATAACTCTTCACATCAAAAATTTGTTACAATATGAGTAAATTCTTTGTAGATTGGTTTTCCCAGCAAGAAGAATTTACCACAGATATAGAAGAGATGAACAAGGAGGAGTTAAATAAATGCTTGCGGAAATTTTACATGTCTGCAAGAAAACAGGACGGAGGTTACTACAACAAAGCAACGCTTACCTCGATCAGAGCCGCCATTGATCGGCACTTGCGCAACGAGCCACACAACAAGCCATTTTCGATAATTAGCGACAGCCAGTTCACGGAAGCGAACAAAGCTCTAAATTCGTTTCTGAAAACTCTGAGCAAATCAGGTCAAATTTGTTCTACTGTTCACAAACCCGCACTAACGACCGAAGCAGTTTCAAAGCTCTACGAAGCCGGCGAGCTAGTAGATGAAAGATGCCACGATCCACAAAAGCTGCAGCAAACAGCGTGGTTTTTTATAACCCTCTACTTTGGTCGAGGAGGAAGGGAAAACCAGCGTCAATTGACAAAATCAAGCCTAAAGCTCTCCAAAACCCCAAATTCCGGCCTGGAATATTTTGAGCTTAACAGAGAAACGCCAGGAGGAGTCTTTTCAACCAAAAATCACCAAGGTGGTCTAGACGGCACCGACGACCCATCTGATGGTAAAATGTTCGAAGGCAAAGGGCTTGCTAACTGTCCAGTAGCAGTAGTGAAGGCTTACCTGTCCCATTTAAATCCAAAATGTGAAGCACTCTTTCAGAAGCCCTTAACTGGTGCTAAATTTAAACCGTCTTCTGATGTCATTTGGTATTCAACACTTCCTCTAGGCCATAACACGATCGACAGCATGATGAAGAATATGTGCCTCCGAGCTGGTATCGATCCTCCTTTCACAAATCACTGCGTCAGGTCGACCACCGTAAATATTTTGTCTTCTAAAGATATGAAAAATCGTCACATCAGAGCAGTCACGGGTCACAAAAGCGATGCAAGTTTGGAATCCTACAACGATCGTCCAACGTTCGAGCAGTTTAAGAATATGTCTTCGGCGATTACAGATTTCATCAACTTCTGCAGACCTGACCATCAAGTCGCCATTAACCCGCTAGCAGAAGTGAATCGTTCTCCCTTAGAGACAGTATCCAAAGCAATTCACTCAAGCACATCCACAAATGTCCAGGAGAACATTTTTGTTCAAGAAAACATGTCGACCAACGCTGCACATGGCATCATTTCTGGTGGCTCCTTCTCCAACTGCTCGTTCAATTTCCACTTTCAGTAAACTTTGAAAGAGGATTTTGGATGTTTTTTTCAGTCCAGACTATTGATTTAGGCTTTCCATAAGGCCATTTTGAGCATTTTGAAAACATTTTGTAGAAAAAAAGCTCGAGCAGAGATTTACCACCTTTGAACTTTCTATAAATAACTCTTGCGCATGCACTGTGCATTCATCACGCATGAATTGACGTGTCAATAAATTGCCTTTAAATGGCTTTTTTTAAAATATTGTCGAGATCACTTCGTGTGTATATACTAAAACAATTATTCTTTTCAATCTCGGTGAATAGTGGCTTTAAGAATATTTACCTCGCCGCTTTCGCGGCTCGGTAAATATTTTGCCACTATTCACCTCGATTTCAAAGAATAATTGTTAAATATACCTGGATTTTTTGAAAACCGGGTTAGCAAAAATATCAACTCATTCTACCACTTGGCAATTTAAAACAATAAACCTCATTCAAAGGTCGATTAAAAGCCTTTATCTCACGCCGGGCAGTAAGTTAATGGTCCCCAGAGGCATTCTATTCCTGGACTTTTGTCTTACACTCGTCTTATTCAAGCTCCCGGATGTAGAGTCACACGGTCGGGGGATCACCTTAGCCTTGTTTTCACACCAGAAAAAAGTCTTGGCCCGGGTCAAAGGTAACCTGCAATTTTGCTCTCACCTAATTCATTTGACTCCTAAGAGCCTGTTCCCGAGGCCAAAGACTTAGTGGTCACCTTAGAAAAGCGAACAATATCGTACCTTTCTGTCTCAGCCCGGATCAGGGTGATTGATCCGTTTAGCCAAATGAAACGAGAATATAATACGATATTGGACGATGCAGACTCTGCGAATTGTAATGATTTTGTCCCATCTCAGAGCTTTACATGATGCTCTCCGGGAAACGTTTCTCAAGGTGACCAATATCTAAAACTAAACTGCTAAACGGCACCGAAACCAGCTTTAGGCGCGCACTGATTTCAAATAACTGTCACTTGTGTTAAACAAGGAATTGTGGGTAAAGAAAAAATTGGAATGGGGGGGGGGGTGGGGGAGTAAAATAGTAATTCTGTCTACATCCACTTTTGCGCAAATCTCTAACCACAAAACAAGCAAAAAAAACAAAAAACAAAAAAAAAACGACATAAGCAGACAACACAGTAAACAAGCTATTAGACAGGGGAAGTTCAGAAAAATTACAAAATGTTTGCTAACCTGGTTTTCATAACTCCAGCTATATATTTAACAATTATTCTTTGAAATCGAGGTGAATAGTGGCGAATATTCCTAAAGCCACTATTCACCGAGGTGGGAAAGAATAACTGTTTTAGTATATACACACGAAGTGATCTCAACAAAATCAGAGAGTAAACCATTAAAAAGTACGATTTGATTGACAGATCAAATCACGCGAAAGTTTAAAAATACATCTTTGCATAATTTTTAAACATGGCTTATCACTTCGCAAACAACAGCGTAATGGTTTTAATGGAACCGTTAAAAGTTTGAATTGTTTCCTTATCTGTGGGGAAAAAAAGAAGAGCTTTGTTGTTTTCTGTTGACTCACCAAGTTTATAGCCGAAAAGTTTTGTTGTGTCGTTCTTCGCATGAAGTGCTGACAAAAATGGCGGGCTTGGTTCTTCGAGGTAAGACGTCGTCTTCATGTAGCATTCTTTGTCCTATTTACTTGAAACGTAGAATTTCTGCAAACATTTGCTTTCAAATTTGTTTGTCATTTTTCTTGTTAGGAAACGCTGAGTTCACGAAACGGCCTCTTCTACGCGAATAAACGGGAGTTGTAAACAATCCATAAATGTTTTGTTTTCGATGGATTGTTTACAACTCGCGTTTATTTGCGTAGAAGAGGCCGTTTCGTGAAAAGCAAATGTTTGCAGTAATTCTACGTTTCAAGTAAATAGGACAAAGAATGCTACATGAAGACGACGTCTTACCTCGAAGAACCAAGCCGCCATTTTTGTCAGCACTTCATGCGAAGAACGACACAACAAACCTTTTCTTGCCTAAAAAAAAGTCAACCCTAGGATTCTGTCGACTTTTAAAAGATCCTTTTCTAAAAAAAATGGGGAAAAAACTGAGCTCACACATTATCCACTCGCTAGGAGGTGAATATTGTTGAATAGTCCGAGATAGCAAAGCAGTCAGATTGCTTAAATCACCAAGATCACTGAGTGTGTATATACTAAATACATATATGTTTGAAAACAATAATAGCCTAAAATTGACCCCTGGGGAACCCCGAAATGTAAATGTTCCAGTAACGATTTCTTATCATCAATTTGGACGTACTGAAAGACATAGGTAGTTTGTAATCCAATGTGGAAAAGATTTTGAGAAACCCAATTTAAACATCTTCTGGATGACAACAGAGTACGATACAGTGTCCAATGCTTTCGAGTAATCGGCCAATATCATTAAAGAGAGTTCACACTTTTTCATCGCTCTAATAATATCATTTCTGATGTGTAATAGCACGGTAGCGGTTGAGTGTCCTTTGCGGAATCCAGCGATAGTTTGCTTTAAAGTTTGATGAAATTCGATGAAATCAACTATTTGACGCCCAACAAGTTTCTCAGTTACTTTGGACAGAACGGAAAGTACTGTTATCGGTCTAAAATGACTTTCCTCTCTGGGTTATCAACCTTAGGAATTGGACTGACACCGCCCACTTTCCATGTCCTGAGAAACATCGATTTCGAAATGAAATTGTTAATGATTTTGGTGAGAGGACTCGCTATTACACTTGCTGCCATCTCAATGCATCTCGCAGGAATTAGGTCCGGTCCAGTGGAACAATCTAGGCGAAGAGCCCTTAAAGCTTGCAGAACTTCATGATAGGTGACAGGACGTAGAGTAAAGGGCTGCACATCATTTCCATGTGCAGGCAAATCTTTTATCGCACTGAGCAGGTCTTCAGAAGGAATTGCTGAGTTATTTGAACCCAGAGTTCTTTCTGCTCTTCCCACAAATAAATCGCACGCGGCGTAATGGAGCGTGCCGATCGATACACTCAATCAAGGTGTTTAGTAGCTAGAGTTGAAAATCAGGATAGTGCGCAAGTAGACTAAAGCCGGGTTCTATCTAGAGTATTTGAAGGGTAGAAGCCCCCCCACCAAAAAACCAAGCCAACCCCACCCCACCCACCAACAAACCAACCCCTCTAAGATAAACCTGACCCGATCAGGAAACCCAAGCCACACCAAACAGATGCAACCACCCACTCCCAACAGTACACAAACTGAACAACAAACTGACCAACACAGCACACACAAAGAAAGCGCACGGGGGGGAAGGGGGGGTGCCGCTCGATACCCCCAATCAAGGGGTTTAGTAGCTAGGGTTGAAAATCAGGAGAGGGCGCAAGTAGACTAAAGCCGGGTTCTATCCAGAGTATTTGAAGGGTAGAAGCCCCCCCCCCAAAATGCCCAGCTTCCCCCCCCCCACACACAAATATTGTTATCATTACAGTATATAAGTAACTATGACGTAAAAATCATCCAGAGGCGACGAGGTCAGTGCACACACTATAACAGTTCTCAAAATTGTCTCAAAATGCACCAGATTTCCTCGCAGCGCATATTCATTTCAAAACTTTCTCCCAGCCCCCATGGAAAGCTCGCGGCCAACGGCCACTCTGGACATATCCTCCAAAGGATAAATACTGGATAGAAGCCTGCAACAAATAGGGAGTGTCTTCCAAATCATTAACAAGGGCCGTTTCATCGAAATTCTTCATGTGGCGTATGAACTTGTACCTGGGTAAGGCAAAAATCCCGTCGTGGTCACTAACAACCGAGCAAGGAAGTATTCCTGTGTGAGTGGTCCTGCTGGGACATTTGGATACAATGTGAACTATCAATGTGCTGGAATGCTTTGATTCTCTGGTTGGTTCTTGTGCCATTTGTTCCAAATGAAAAACCTCAAGTAATTCATTATATTGCCTCGTATTAACTGGATTAAGTAGGTCAATGTGCATGTCGCCAATTAGTATAAGCTTACCGTCCCAACTATTATTGATGCGTGCGAGTAGACTGTTAAACCATTCCTTGTATATTCATGACGCTGTTTGATGGGTGTACAACTCCTACAAGCACCCTGCTATGACTATTCCTACCCGGCATCTCGATCCATAAATGTTCCAAACTAGGATGTACGTTTTCTAGATCCAGTCGCCTTTTATATTTCATGTTGTCACGAATGTACATTTTTTTACGATTCCGGTATTTCATTTGCTACCCGGGAATTTTAACACACTCGATTAACTCAGGATTGTTTTTTAGCCATGTTTCACTGTGTAACAACATCAAAGGGATTCTTTTTTTTCTTTGGAGGCGACACTTATGGCTTCACACTAAAGCTCTCAAGCATGGGGTAGTTGGAACCCAGTTTGAGTGTGAAGGGGTAAAATGTACCTACTTCAACTGTACTTGGTGACCATTGAAACGTTCGTAGTTCAAAGAAGCCGAAGTTCGTCGCCAAGTATGATCTACACCACACTTGAGAAAACAACTGACCAATAAGAAGCGGAAGCCATGTGCGTGCACGTACAGCGGTTCAAAAAAAACAGAACGGACAAAAAAACATCCATGTCTCGGTTAGCGAAGAGCACTGGGGAGGAGGCCAAGCCCAAGCAATGGCGATTTCTTTGAAAAAAGCGTGTTTTCAGCCATTCTAGTGAAATGCTGAAGGTGACTTCGCTTGTTTTTTGTTTGTTTTTTTTTCTTCCGCTCCTAAGTACTCGTGAAAAACGAAGCACATAAGCATACAGTTAAAACCCTTAGAATTAAAAGTAACGAAAAAATAAATACGAAACTACAAAAAAACTTTTTTCCAGAGCAAAGGCCTCATAGTTTTAGCTTTTGACGCGAGCAATCGCGTTAGTGATATACATATATGATTTTACTGCGAAAGATGATTGACAGCTTGTATTTCAAGTAATATACTCTGTCATTAAGTGTGAAGCCATGTTTTCTACAGAGCGACTTAAGACTTTCTAGTGC